TCACACATTGTCACAAAATGAAAGTTGAAAATATCCTACCTTGGAAACTGGAACCAGCCGTTTCTAATGTCCTCTTCTCTGATTGGCTATCACTTGAACGTTGTCTAGGTAACATAATGTTTTGATCAGCAGTATTTTGGGATATATGTCCTCCATTGGATGTAGGGAGTCTGGACATGATCCCCAGCAGTGTAAATCTACAAATAAAATATTAAGATTAACACCCTATGTTTTTACACTGAATCCAAAAGAGCAAGCCACAAGATAGCAAACAAATTGGGTTCAATATGTCACACTGAGATTCAGAGAGAATGATGTTATTGGCCAAAATAATAGAAAGAACCACTAGCTGGAATACACCTGCAACTAAGTGTAAAAGTCTGTTAATAATTTGTTTCTCATAGATAAATCCAGTATTCCCCACTTTGGTGCTGTTAAAGATCTGTTTCTATCTCATATCCACATGATATCTAAAATTGAAGTTTAGCGCCAAGGTTCTGTCACCAATGTCACATTAGCCTTAATAGAGTCAAATCAGTAGGTGTAGGTCAACTTTGGTTATCGTAGCTACAGATTAACACCTCTTCATATGTAGTATTTTTAAGTCAAAGTTCTATTTATAAATCAATTTACGCCTTTACGTTTTAACAATTCACGTTCCCATTAGGTTTATAACACAACAACAATAAATATACTTCAGTATGATATCCATTCACAGAGACAAAAACTGTTTTCTGTCTACAGGCGCTAAAATAATCTAACAGTAGAACCTATTTTGATTTATTCATATGCGAGTAGAGATAAAATTGTAAAAAATATAAACTACAAATACTGTATAGTGACACATCATCATAAGACATAGCCTGAAGATGAGAGTGTTTCTACATGAATTATTATACAAATAAACATAACAATACTTCGAACACAGGTTTTTAAATGAGAACTGAATGTCTTACTCGCTTACAAGTCCATCAATAGTCCTGCATCAAAACCCTACGTTCTCCAATTCCTTCTCTACATAACCACCTGTTATAGACAAGGAATAGAAGGGAGCATGGAGTCTTGATTCAAGACTAAATATTCATATCAGTGATTTCCCCAGCATTAGACCAATCAAGCCGTACACCCAGCTGAATATCAGAGAATTAAATGTCACCCTACTAAACGCTGGTTTATACCCTGCCATAATGGTGGAAATGACTCAAGAAAAATGTTTTAACAAAGTATATTGTTACTCTATATCTATGCAGCCCTAACATTAATCCTTCAATAAGTGTAAATTCTAAGTCTGTATTGTGTCTATTTGGCCTTTCCCTCCATCAATTGGCCTTTTAAAACATAACTTGGCTTTTAACTGCATCACTTGGACTTTCGCAATATCACCTGGCCTTTCCCTGCATCACTTGGACTTTCGCAATGTCACTTGGCCATGTTATATGTCAAATTGTTACTGTCAATACTAAGTCTATTGTGTTAATTTGGCCTTTCACAGCATCACAGCCTTTTACAGCCTCACTTGGACTTTTACAACATCACTTGGACTTTCGCAACATCACTTGGCTTTTCACTGCATCACTTGGACTTTCCCTGCATCACTTGGACTTCCGCAACATCATTTGGCCATGTCATATTATTATTCTATATCTATGCAGCCCTAGCATAACTTTCTCAGGTTGTTAGAATTATCCTTTAACACGTGTCAATACTAAGTCTATTGTGTTCATTTGGCCTTCTACAGCATATCACTTGGACTGTCACAATGTCATTTGGCCTTTCGCAGCATCACTTGGCCTTTCACAGTATCACTTGGCCTTTCACAGCAAATCACTTGACCTTTCACAATATCATGTGGCCTTATACAGCATATCATTTGGCCTTTCACTGTATCACTTGGCCTTTCTCAGCATATCACTAAAGCCTTTCAAAGCATATCAATTGACCTTTTATAGCAATACTTGGCCTTTCATACCACATCACTTCACTTGGCCTTTCTCAGCATTTCTCACTTCACTTGGCCTCAAACAACATCACTTGGCATTTCACAACACCACGTGGCCTTTCAAAGAATATCACACTATACAGCATTATTTGGCCTTTCACTGCATCATTTGACCCTATACAGCATTACTTGGCCTATCACAATCACAACATATCACTTGGCCTAGTCCTATAGCATATCACTCAAGGCCTGTTGGTGATGCCTATTCATAAATTTCTGCATCAAATGGAGTACATTATTTATTTGGTGTCCTGTCACGAAAGTACCTTGTACTGAAACCATTTGTACCTTTCTGTCCTGAAATTTTTCTGGACCGTGACACCTCTATACATTACCCAACATTATGATTTGTTCACGTACAGTAAAACCTGCATATATTAACATTTATTAAACACCATTCATGCTGGCCAGGTGTTCTTCACAACGAGTGTTCATTAACGTATTAGCAAACGAGGCTTGGTCTTTTAAAAGATGTGTTCAATATACCGAAATGAGTTTAATTAAAAGAGTTTTGCTGTATTTATATTTTGGCTCACTGAGACATTTATCTTGACATATTTGTTCTCCAGACAGGGAGTAACAACTCAAACGTTAAGGTCAATGAAAAATTAGTTGTAAAAAACTGTCTAGCGAAATTTAATACATAGTGTACAATTCAAAAATATGTTTTCTCAATAGCAGGTAAATAAGATTTATAATTACATATTCAATGCATATATCTTACCGATTCAAACACTGAAGTTAATAAAGAATATTATGAACTTTTTTAAGTTCAGACAAATGGTATAAATAAAAATATGTGTATTTGAGGTATTATTTACATATTCAAACTAAATGGCATTTTGAGTGCATTGTAAACAACATGTGAAATGAATATATTCATATTCAAGATAAACCAGATGCAATGACAAAGATCAATCTAAAATTGACAAAGTTGCCAACAAACTTACTACATGTGAAAAGAACACATTCATGTTCAAGATAAACCAGATGCAATGGCAAAGATCAATCAAAAATTGAAAAAGTTGCCTATAAACTTTTCAAAATGCACACATAGGTAAAATAGATTGTTTATGTAGCCCTGGATATACTTAGTTTCATATGAGGTCTCAAATTGATCAAATACTGATATATGCTAGTGAAAACTTGTAAAATTGACTAAATGTTATAAAATGAACCTCTGTACATATAGAACACCTCTATACGTAGAACACCAGTTTTATTGTACATCTGATAATTTTCACATTAGATAAAACAAGGCATTGACATGCAAAATGTAACCACCTGCCATTTGTACAGTCACCAAAATCAGAACGCCAAACACCAACAAATGAATGCTGTCACAAAAAAGACCATAACAATATGTCACCACTTGTGGTGGTGACACAATAATAAGAACCTATGATGTTTACTGCAAAACATACACTTAATGCAGTTAACTGGCTGATGTAACATATAAGATATCTAGCGACTATATATTTTATGATACACATACATAAATCATTTTAATCACACAGACATGCAAAATGTAAATTTTGCATAATTGCAATTATAAAAAATTCTGTTCATTTGAGAATATACAAACAATTGCACTAGCCATATGAAACAGATTTAAAAGTTAAAGCCAAGTATGTGTATTATAAATACATTATTTACAATATTGCGTGGGTTCCTAATCTTAAATGATTTTCACAACGTGGGTGAATATTTGGTTTACACAATTTATTTCCTTGTCAAATGCAGCTGGCTCAAACTCCACTAGACAAGATATGACTTTCTCTATTTGTATACCTTGCCCGTAGCCAGCTTTTACCAGGAGGGGGAGCTTTTTTCTGGGGGGGGAGCTTTTTCACAATTTTGGCTGAAAATCATGCGAAAAACTCTCAGAATGGTGAAAAACTGCATGATTATGAAAGAATTTCTGGCCAGGGGGGAGCTTCCGCTTCCCCAACTCCCCCTCTAGCTACAGGCCTGTATACCATAAACTTATAGGTGTTCATAAATCAGGTTTAAAGATGAAACTGATGATCCTTTAGCTAGATCTTATTTCTCAACTACCAAACACTATATACTATTCATTGACACAACGTGGCTTCACTAGCAAAGTGTGACGTGGTCAGTGCAAAAACATTGATTATGTAGTCCAGATTTTCTACCATCATCCTAGAGCAAGCTCAGAAAGATACAATTTTTCTGTATAAGATTGGCGGTACAAGATCTCTGTATAAATCGAGTGCATCATCAATATTTTCAACTTGAACCTGTTTCTGTGCATGCAAGTCAGTGTAAGCATTTGTGCATGCAAAGTCTTTTACCACGTGACAATCCCCATACATCAATACATCTCCCTCAAAATGCATCATTGTAGTTAGAGTTCCACTCCAATAACTTTTGAATGAAGTTTTTGAAGTTTGAAAAGTTGTAAAATTTTTGACTCAAAAAAATGACTCACCAATTTTCACTTTATTTTCAATGCATTCCCTTGCAGGATCACCAGTGACATCTGCATGGTATTTCAGCTCGATGTAACATTTAGCGATTCATGAATGATTTGAAGCTGTCGAGTGAAGTCTTAATGTACAAACAATACAAATTATTACTTACTATTTACAGCTGACTTCGAAACAGCTGCAACCGGGAAACACCTTCAAGAATGTATCATCGTCCCGACGCAGCTTATTACGAGCTTGTCCATTGGATAAGAGTTTTGTATACGAGTGTTGTAAGGCAAAATTTTCAACCAATCAACAAAGTTTTAACAAGGAAGATTTGGCGGAAATATTTTTGAAAATTGACAAGAATTAACTTTACTAAATTTTAAAATTCAAACAAACTAATTTTAGATAATTCAACACAAAATACATAAAACACATAATATTTTGATTGAATTCTGATTTACGAAGTTGATAAATTGATTAAAAGCTGTACACATTGCATATATTAATTGAAAATGAAATAATACATTATAGTAGATTGATCCTTGTGCTTTCCTTTACGTGTTCGCCATATTGGAATCCGAGGCCGGAAAATATCGGCGAATTATCAGTCACAATCCTTCGAAACTACGGAATAGACAGCATCGAAAATCATGGCAAAGATTCTATCGAACTTCATCTTTATGATGTTACTGGTTTTACCAACATCAATGATGTTATTTAGCAGTGGTATGTATATTTAAAATATTTGCCTCCTCGGAGGAAGAAGAATGATACGTGGCACAGCTGTTTCTTATTGTTCTTCAAAATTGTGTAATGGACCACTTTTGTTCTGCTAAAATAACTTACAATAAGTGCTTTGTACAATTTGTTAATTGTTCTGGATACTGAGATTGTGTTTGCACAGATCATTTTTTGGTGATTTCCAAATCGGGTAGAATATTCATTTTGGGGTCAACTTCCAACTTGTTGATCACGATCTGGTCTTCAGATGTGGTTTTAAGCCTATATAGTTGGTGTGTCCTTAATGTATTGATTGCCATGATTGCGTTAAATGTCTTGTCTCAAACTAGTTCAACGTCGTTAAACTCAATAACGGCGTTATTTATTATTAAGAATTTTCTTGGGGCCATTATTGAGTTTAACCTCTTTACTATTCTTTCCATTGATGCAAGTTTTGGATCCACCGAAACCATTTTTCCGCGATAACATGCAACTGATACTTGACAACAATATAAAAACACATAACATCAAGCGATTCAACACAATATTATTGTATTAAATGGTCATTTATACAAGTAAAATGAGGTTAAACTTACCAATCTCTAAAATGACATTTCCGCATGTCCTTCATTGTGTCTGTTCGTCCTGGGTTAAAATTTAAACTATTGAAACGAAATTGTTGTCAAATAGATTGATAATTATCACGCGATTACTCGGGATAAAATAGCCATTTTTGAGGATAGCAGGTATCTTTGATTGATTTATATAGCGCTTGTATACACACAAAATCGTTATTAATTGCAAACCTACTGTTCGTTGATGCAGTGTCGCAATGACGGTTAATTCCTGATACGATTTGCAATTTCGATGTTACCGGAGCTGACCGATATTTTCGTAAAATTCCAAACCTGTCTCCAATATTTTCGTAATTATGCATCAATATGGTCTAAGGGGGGTACGGGATGGTGTGTATGTATTTATAAGGTATGTATGCATGCTTGAATCACATTCTTTATGTAATATTACCATGTTACCGGAGTTTATTTAGTTCCGCATGTCGAAACCTGCTGAACGATTAAATGATCGCAACAAGGGCAAAATCATCATAGAAGTTAGACCTAGCCGGCCATAAGACATGTCAGATAAGAAACGAGGCCCAGGCTAGGTCTAATGTTGTTGGACTAGTCTCAAACTACTCGGATACTACTTGTCTTGAAAAAATGAACTTTTTTTTGTTGTTGACGATCAAAGCTCAGCATATTTCTGATCAAAAATATTTGTCCAATGATGTTACTAAGGCATTTGGACTGATGTATTGGTAGCTAGCTTTTGCATAAGTGTTCAGCTTTGTGATGGATTCCAGCGTTTTGCTGTTATTCTTCATATCGTTGCTCACAGTGATAGCTTGCTCTGAGAACTGATTCCAACTTCATATCTGAGGACTATCATTGAAAAAGTGAAAAATGGTGCTTTTAGCTCATCTCATGAAAACTGATCAGTTGTTTTTTTTTGATACATTTTGTTGATCCATATGTTTAAAAGTCAGTTGGCAAAATACATGTGAATGTGAAGTATCAATGAGGGCATTTCAATAAGGATTGAAAAGGGCATTTGTGTTTTGTGGTGCCATGTATTTCTTTTCAACAATAGGCTAGAGAATAATCAAAGTGATGAAGATAATAGGACCTGTATGTATTTTGCCATATTTTCTAACATCTTCAATGTCTCTAAAATCTACAGATACATCCATTCATAATTTTTTTTTATGTCAGGTGCCAGTATGGTTGCCTATGCCCAAGAGGAAGATATCTTAGAAGGAGAGGAAGAAGAGGAGGGTGTGGTAGAAGATGATGATGAGGGAACTGTTGATGATGGTGAAGATGGAGAAACAGCGCCAACAGAAACAGAAGGAGAGGTATAGTATACAGCTCAGCAATATCTAAAAATAACACATAACATTTTTAGATTTGGCATGCTTTTGAAATTGATTAAAATTGCAGACATGGCATGCAAAATAAAATGAGACATTCATTTAATTAAGATTCAATGTGAACAACCAGGGGTTTCATTAGCAGCACTCAACAGGCAAATTTCACTGGTTGTTTTCACAAAATTGCCTGTTGTTTTTAGGGACTTCAACTTTCCAATGTTAAATTCAGATTTCTATTAATTCTGCCTGTTGTTTTCTTTTATTTAGCCTGTTGTGAGAAATTCTAGTGAAACCCCTGACAACAAACTCTGATATGACCAGGGTATTTTCATAAAGTTTTCTCCAAGATTTATTTATGGTCAATGTTTCAAGTGAAGTTGATTATTTCAGGAAGAAGAGGAAGAAGTCCCAAGCTTGAAGGCATCATCTGATGCTGAGACAATGATCCTCTTCACCAAACCAACTGGAACAACAGGTACGGGAATATTAACCAATATCTTAACGTCTTTGTTATAATTTCCAAGCACACCATTTTGAAATAATTCTCTTTGTGAACAAGAATCGATGCATGAACAAATTAATTTGCCGTATTGATGATGTTTGTAGACAGGACTATCAGAGAAGATGATTTTTTACAATTCACTAGTAAGTACAGTGACTGTTGCGATGTGGGCAATTACATATTTGTGGTGGTGGCCTAGGATCAGATCATAAATGTGAACATTATAAATGTAATTGTCTTATCAGAGAGCTTTAAGGTAGCCTAATTCTCTTGGTTGGAGAAATTGATATCTTGAAGGGAAGGCAGATTGCAGAGGCTTGATGTAAAACTACATTTTTAGAACACAAAACATGTTCCGGGAACATGGATAATTTACTGGTACATGTGTCTTTGTATTGTTCACTATTGTAGCATGTTGTATCATTGCGATTAAATTGTCCATGTGTTAGATTGACCTGAAGGCGACGAGCCTTGTATGACAATTTACAAATTAATGAGTTCCAATTATGACAGAACATAGGGGCAATTTTTATTAATCACTATTTGATTATACTTTTCAATTCTTCAATCATTTATTTGATAAGTAGGCCTTATGAATTCAAAAGGTTAATGTGAAAATGAATCTCAGTGCGAACTTGTAAATTTTCGATTGTACTACTCAACAATACTTTAATGTTGTTGCATGTTGCAAAATGTGGGTGTTTGAAATATGGGAATGTTAGGTAAAAGTTAATTGTCATCAATATTGAGTATATGTACATGTATATGACTAGATTAATTGAGATTCAATTACAAATATGCTAGGATTTTTGAAAGATAACTGAAAATGACTAATTTTGAGGTGTGAGTAGTTTCATGATTTTATATATACAACAACCAAAATATTTGCTCTATACATTAATGATCTTTGAAATTGTTGTTAAAGAAAGTGGGTTCTTAATAAATTCAAAAACTTCAAAGTAAACTGATTTTGAAACTTTTTGTCCGATGATGTTACTAAGGCATTTGGACTGATGTATTGGTTGCAGTCTCTCACATTCAGTGTTCCACTAGGTGTAGGATGGTGACGTTTTGTTGCTCTTCTATATTGAACTGGGCACAGTGATAGTAGCTCCAATTACTGATTCAAACATCATATCTGAGGACAACATTTAATACTCATGAAACAATTTCAGTTACCGTTGTGAAATACCTCATGGGAAGCTCTTGTTTAAAACTGCGCTCTTAAAATGTTAGGCTCCATAGAAGTGTTTTTGATTGGCAGATATCAAGGAGTCATTTTGACCTTGCCCCATAACATTTAGCTCAATTTTCACTTTTAAAGTAAATTCTCATTTAATGTACTATTGTAGAGTTCCCAGCTGGTGGCCTGATTCGTTTCCTAGTAGGATTTGCCAACAAGGGAGAACAAGACTTCATTGTAGAGTCCCTAGATGCCTCCTTCAGATACCCACAGGACTACAGCTTCTTCATCCAAAATGTAAGTTTATATTGAATGTAGTCTTGCCCAAGACTTGGGCAAGCCTATGTTGAATGTTTTATCATAGGATAGGTTTGATTTGTTCAGTGATAATATCATTGATTACAGTTGATTTATGTGGTTTTTATCACACTTGTTCAAAGTGCCATATTGTCTTCATCTTGGTTGCCACTCATCTGTTCAACTTGGAATTTTTACAGATGTAACAGCAGACTCGTTTCAACATCAAGGTTTTGGTTTTGCTGCATAAAAAAGTAGCATAAATTACTTGGCAGCCATTCTGAATTTATTTTTCAATAAATAAAAAAGTGTGATATGTGTCATGTTTCTTGTTTGACTTGCAAAAGTAGACTGTTCTCTCAGTACCACATTTACCATTGCAAGCTACCAGCAGAGTGGGTGTCTTATATACACCTAATCTTCCTAGATGTCTTGCTATAAAAACTGAGATTGTTTGAGGCGTGGCAAACTCTGTGTTGTCCCGTCATAGATTTCTCAAACATGATGTATGCAGTATTGCGTAGCTTGAGGCTCAATGGCTGTAGACATTCTGATATTCATAGCATCACCTGAAACATCTCAGGGCTGAGAAGATATGAGATGTTGTGGTTTATCATGATGGGCTGGAGGTCAAAGTCAAAACATGCTCATTGCTCAACTAAGATAAGAGGAGGGAAAACCCCATGATTCAATTGATGACATACGATTTCCTCCTTCGCGCACCTCCTTTACGTATATTTGTTTACCCTCCATCTTGGTTTTCACTGTTTTCAAATTGACCTAGTTTTAAACCAATCAACGATCCACTCGCTAAACCCATCAGCGATGATGTCATCTCAATTAGGGGTCAAACGGTTAACCGCGGTACGCAGTTACCGCGGTTAATGATGCTAGGACGGTATTTTCGGTTCATAAATATGAGATTCGGTTCATCCACGGTTCGAGGAAAAATTGAAAAATGAAATTTTTTAGACTTCAATATTCTCTCTTTCGTTCGACATGAACTTATTCTTCATGTATATATTCCTTAAAAACATGTTTATAGCAATAGAGAACATTCAATTCTTACCTTAGATATGAAACAGATCGCTCACAAATCGATAGACAGGTGATTGTTTACATTTTTGTGACATATAAATAGACTGGAAGTTGGTCTCGCCAGATTACGCTATTCATAGTACAATTAATTTTGCTTCGTGGAGGTGTTTTGTCTGTTATAATGAGTTAGTTTTTAATCAATATTATTTAAAAAATACTGCAATTACAGAAATTATAACATTACTAATGTCTTTGTTAAAAACTTGAAACATATTTGTGTTTAAATCTCCCGCACAATCGCAGCGCCATCTGTGCTGATTCAGCTGCTTTGACAGACTACAAGAATTGCGAGATTAAATCTCAATTATTGAAATACAAAAGCAACGTTTGGAATTTTTGGGGTTTTCCTATCATAAATGGGAAACCAGAGGACAGTGTATCAATATGCAGAATCTGTAGGGAGGTCATGAAGTAAATTTTTTCCTCAAGTTACTGCTCATAGGTCCGGGAAAATGTATAATAAAGATGAGTTGAATACACCAAAAAGAGATCTCTTTACTTGGTGTATTCGACTTGATCTTTTTATGCATTTTCCCTGGGCTATGTAGATCTCAGCTCTTATCTGACAAAAGTCTTATCAAGGACAGAAAAATCTAAAGTTTAAAGTGGGCCACTAGGCCAATAAACTTTGCTTTGTCAAGTCAATTTAATAAAAAGGATAGTGGGACCAGAAAGTGACCAACTTGGGCAAGGCTAGAAAGAAAGCTAAAACCTGTTTTTTATGAGCTGTCTTTACAATTTTATAAGGAAATATTACCAATTTACGAGACCCGCGAGAACCGTGAAAGAACCAAACCGTGAACCTAAAAACCGTGACCGAACCGTTGGAATTTTGAACCGTTTGACCCCTAATCTCAATACAGATTTACATTATAAGCGTATGTCATCTTTGAACCCTGGGGTTTCTCCCCCTCTTAACTAAGATGGGGTGTTAATCATTTATATTTTCTTCATTGCAGTTCACAGCCTACAAGTTTGAGAAGACAGTTGAGCCCAAGAGACAGGCCACCTTTGAGTATGGATTCACCCCAAGTGAGACTTTCAATGCTAGACCATTTGGACTTGTTATCAACCTGAACTACAGAGATGCTGTAAGTCTATTACCTCAAACCCAAGATTTTTTCTCGAATGGGTTCCCATGGTTTTTGTCAACCAGTAATTCACTTCAATATATCTGATCTGATCAGAAAAAATTAAGATACTTGCCTCATTATTGAATAAAAATCCTCCTCTTATCAGAGAATGCTCTGGTCTGTAGCTTACAACAGTCCTGATGAATAGTCCCAGTCATAATTGCGAGGATTGATTTTTTTGTATGGGTTCATATCTTTAGCCCTTTGAGTAATTCAATTGAGAACATTTATCTTCATGCAGGGATCTCACTAGAATGAACAACCTGTGAATTTCTCACAACAGGCTGAATAAGTGAAGACAACAGACAAAATTAATGGAAATCATATATATCATGGAAAAGTTGAAAAGTCCCTCAAAACAACAGGCGATTTTGTGGAAATCACCTGTTGCTAATAAAACCCCTGCCATGTGAATAGTTGCAAGCTACCAGCAGAGTGGGTGTCTTATATATGCCTAATCTTCCTAGATGTCTTGCTATGTAAACTGAGATTGTTTGAGGCTTGGCAAATTCTGTGTTGTCCTGTCATAGATTTCTCAAATAATTAAATAACTATTAAACAATATGATCCGATCTGACATAGTTTTTTTTTTGTCAATTAAAGCATGTTTTTGAAGTGAATTCATGTAGTTTTCTTCATTCGTTTTTCAAAACTAAAGACATGGCAAGATGGTTTTCATGGACTTCTGGCTGAATTTTTCATGATTTTGTCAACTAGTTTTCTCGGCAACTTACATCACAATTTGTTAAAAAGTTCAAGAACTTTGCGTTTAGTTGATTTATGTTACTGTCTTTCAGGAGGGCAATTACTTCCAAGATGCTGTCTTCAATGAGACAATCCAGATCACAGAACCTGATGAGGGACTTGATGGGGAAACGTAAGTCAGCATGATATGTTTAAAAGGGGTATATGAGGGTTCAAGATTGGAATCTTGCACAAGCGGTATTTCCAAATGTAGGATCTCAAAAACTATTTATGATATTTTTTTCAAATTGTGAAGTTATCATTTTCTATGTAGAAATGTGTAAAGTGTGTACAGTATTCTGTTATCTCATTAAAATCTCTCATCTGAATGGTTGATTATACAACACAAAAAAATATATTGAATAAGCCAAAAGAAACTCTCTGTGTAAATCTTTCCGTAAATCATACTTTACACGGGTGTTAAAACACGAATATACCATGAGGACATGCTTTGAGGATCCGCGTTGTTTGAACCTACCGGCAAGCACAATTATACATTAAAGAGAGAATCAGAGATAGCGAGCAGGCTAAACAAAAAATTGTTCCAATTTTAAAATATTTTTGGCTCATGTCATTCCTTGTCATGTCTATTTTCTAAAAATCACAAAAGTTCATACTTTATTCCAGGAAAACTAAAGATTTTTACAATAATACATTATTTTTCTATAAGAATGGTTACCATTCTTATTATTTGGGAGAATTTAAACATTTTTCACCTACTTTTACACTTTCAATCATTTATAACTTCACCAATTTATTACATATTGTGAATCTTTTTGGAGATATTGTATTTGATATTGTAAGGAATAGATTGGTCGGTCAATTAGACAAGCTGCTTGTAATTTTGTCACCTCCTATAGATCTGATTCTGCCTTTAAGACCCGTTACACAGTCATGATACCGCCGAGCAAGCTCATTGCATCATCGGGTCTGCTTTACCCCCATGCTTTATACATTGTTTCATGTGTGACCAATGCAAGCCACTGAGGTATGTGCTCTTCTATAGCACTGTACTTCCAACTACTTGCTACATTGACATTTGCCTGGTCTGATGAACACCTGTTTATCTGTGACTGGTGCTTGACCATACTAACTGTGGCGAATTACAAAACCTGTCCATAATCTGCAAAAACCTCATAAAGATAACCCCATTCAACGCAGTTGTTTAACAGTAGAGAATTCCAAATTGAAAACTATTGTATGAATCTTTGCAGCATATGGGTGGACAATCATGTCACTTTGAAATCCAAGTTTATGTCCAGTATAAGTTTTTGAAATGAGATTTTGAATTTATATGTTGTTTTATCTTTTCAGCTTCTTCTTGTACGTCCTATTGGCAGCTATAGCTGTGCTCCTATTGGTTGGAGCTCAACAACTGGTCGCAACTCTTAGCGTAAGTGAAATTTCTGTACTCAAAGTTGAAATAAAAACATTGTGAATTACTATTCATTTATTTCAGATCAAAAGTTATTATACTTTAGTTGAATAAAGAGACAACTACATTAAGGTGCAAGTCTAACCAGCAAAATCATAGAATCTCCGTCTTTATTTTTCCTTAATTGATATGTTTTTGTTGAATAATTTAGATGCAAGTCTAACCAGCAAATGACAGGTTTTCCATCCTGATCATTTTCCAGATTACTTGCTATAGAAATTGAGATTTGAGAACTGTCTATGCCAATATTATGACATGGTCAGGGTTAAATTTTCATACAAATGTTCTAAAAGTAAAGAACATTATTAATCATAAAGTATGTTAGGTATCCCACCGAACAAAGTTTGTGGGGATATCGAAGGATGTATCGTCTGTCTGTTCATTTGGGCAAAAATAGAATATCGGTTGATGGGAGTTTGTTCAAGTTTGATTGGTTTATGTCTTATCAGTGCAGGACATCTGCTCGTGATGGCCTCCATTTTTCTCAAAGTAATCTTTGATCACTCATATACCAGTTGATGGATTTGGTTTTGCATATGCTGATATCTAAGAGACATGTTCATTTTTACGATTTGCAGTTTTTACTTCTTACGAAAAAGACCATCGTCCCGCTATATATATAGCAAAATAAAGTTCCAACATTTTACATGTTTTTAGAAATAGCAAACCTTTGATATTTTTCACAAACAAAGTTGTGCAATATCTCACTTGTGACATATGCATAATAATTTTAATACAATTACCATTCCAGTGATCTCCCCATGATTTTTTCAACCTGATTTTTGTCTTTACAATTATTAAATAAATCATTGCTCATATATTGCGCCTTAAATCTTTGACTTTCCGTCTTCAGTTTTTTCCTTAATTGATGTGGATTTGTTGAATAATATAGATGCAAGTCTAACCAGCAAATGACAGGTTTTCCATCCTGATCATTTTCCAGATTACTTGCTATAGAAATTGAGATTTGAGAACTGTCTATGCCAATATTATGACATGGTCAGGGTTAAATTTTCATATAAATGTTCTAAAAGTAGGGAACATTATTAATCATAAAGTATGTTAGTTATCCCACCGAACAAAGTTTGTGGGGATATAGAGGGATATGTATTGTCTGTCCATTCATTTGTCTGTGCAAAAATCAAATACCAGTTGATGGAGTTCGTTCAAATTTGATAGGCTTATGCCTTATCGGTGTAGGGGGTTTCTCGAGATGGCCTCCATTTTTTGTCACTCATATACCAGTTGATGTATTTGGTTCATTTTGCATATGCTGATATCTAAGAGACATGTTCATTTTGTGATTTGCAGTTTCACTTCCTATGAAAAGGGAGACCATCTTCCCGCTATATATCAATATAAAGTTCCAACATTTTACATGTCTTTAGAAAACAAAGTTTGTGCAATGTCTCACTTGTGACATACACATAATAATTTTAATACAATTACCATTTTTAAACCAAGAACTGTATGATTGTTTTTTAGTAAGTTCCTGTTAAATGTTTGCTATTGATGTAGACGCACCTAACATCATAGATGTAAGAGTGCTGCTGTTTTAAAAGCATATGTCTAAATAAGAAAAATAAAAAATAAAAATAAATTCCAGTGATCTCCCTGTTTTTTCAACCTGGTGCTAATTTCTTTTGCTTTGAAAAAATCACTTCACGATTTTTGCCTTTACTATTATTAAATAAATCATTGCTCATATATTGCGCCATAAATCTTTGACTTTCCGCCTTCAGTTTTTTCCTTAATTGATATGGATTTGTTGAATAATATAGATGCAAGTCTAACCAGCAAATGACAGGTTTTCCATCCTGATCATTTTCCAGATTACTTGCTATAGAAATTGAGATTTGAGAACTGTCTATGCCAATATTATGACATGGTCAGGGTTAAATTTCCATACAAACGTTCTGAAGTTTTCTATTATTTGGTTTGTTAAAAGCAGGATTGTCACATTTATTTATTTTTTCAATTTTTAAGTTGAAATGCTGGAGTTGTGTTAGAAGTAGTATTTTGAGTGCTTTTGAATAATATTTTGGAGATTCATTCAGAGCGAATCATTTTTTTAGAGTAAAAAAGAGCAAAACAACCAAAAGTGATAACCTCTTCTAGATACTTGAAATGTTTCTTATCATTCCATACTGTAATATTAATTATCTACTGTATGTTTTGCAGAAGAAGACCAGAGGATCTAAGCCTAAGGCTGCCCCAGTAGAGATGGGAACACAGAACAACTCTGACGTAGACTATGATTGGATCCCCAAGGAGAACCTTGTCAGTAAGTAGCATATTGAATTCTGGTATGCCAGAGCCCCTCTTATCTGCCATTTGCTAAGGAAGGACACAGACAAAGGGGCGCCTATTGCGATGAGCATATTGAATTTTTTGAGGCTTGGTATAAAGTTCTATTGCCCCTGCGTTTGTCATTCGCACCTTTGTTATATTAATGTTGTTTCTCCTGAATGTTAAAGCAGGTCTAACCAGCAAGTTGGCTCCCCATCTTGATGTAATTCAAGATTACAGTACTTGTTTAAGAAATTGAAATTTGAGAACTACCAAGTCAAGAGCTTGACATTGTCAGGATTGAATTTTTTAAAAGATCGATCCATGTTTTAATATATAATGAATTATCTGAGTTTTGTAGTGAACAAATCTAATGTAAATTCTAAATGATTTTGTAAACCTTCTTGCTTGAGGTTGGTCACTTTTGAGTGGGGAGAGTGAATTGAATGGGAAATTTGGCTCTCAAGAGTGGTTCCAGATTAAATTGAATCAGCTCATTTTGGACTCATATTTGATCTAATAAAACAGTTTGACCCCACAATTTTATGGTTAAGGTCCAATATTAAATTTATATTTGAATATTTCAGAGCACTCTCCTAGAGCCCAGACATCACCAAGGTCTCGACGCACAAAGCGTCAAAGTGGGCAAGATGAATGAAGAGACTCCCCCAGTAGACAGGACATTCAGATTGCCAGTGAAAAACCTAGACAACAGAAGTTGGAGAATAGCTATTACACACGCCCGCTGGACATCATCCCAAGAGTCAAATTCAAAGTTTTCAAAGTGTCCGATCTCGCAAAATGGCACAATTTTGACCCGAGGAGTTTGTTTCTATCCGGGGGTTATATCCATCGGGTGACTTCTACATGTGTTTTCCACGGTGGTTTTAGGCTGCTCCAAAGTCTTGGCTGTGGGAAACAATGTGTAAAGACACATTTTAAAATGATAACAAAATTGCATGATTTGGTCTACATAATCAGTTAGATGTGGGATCTTGTTTCAGCAATATTTCAACTCATTTTAATATTATCACACACATTTTATCAGCCTTTAAAAGGATGCAGGTCTATTGCTTATACAAGCTCCATACATCTGCCTGGCATTATATATTAAATTGTAAAAAGTGAAGTTTATGCTCCATTATCTGTTCTATAGAGAAACACTGAAATTGTACATGCAGAAAAACACTTTGGGTTTTAAACATTTTGAGTTTTGAACTTTATTTGAAACCCTGTAGTGTTTGCTGTATAACAACTTATTGAACAGTTCTGTACATTATGTGATGGGAAACTGCAATTTTGATATTAGGGCCATTAAATTGAACTATTGGGTTTTCTGCAAATATGAGCATTTGCTTTGAACTAGATATTTTAGTTTTGTGGCCTTTGAAAGAAAATATGTTCAACGTTTTGATAAGCAATTTGAATGTGGAAACATTTTGATTTTAAGTTCAGATTGTTAATGTATAAAAAAAACAGGCAATTTGAAAAGGTGACACAACTGAAATCAGATTTGAATTGATACACTTTTATAATAAAAGTACTTAGGCTAGTTTAAGTTATTAAAGTACTTAGATGATTAAAATGCCAATTGGGTTTTATGACCATATATGGTGGATATAATTTCCATATAAGGCATATACCTTGAAGATTACCATGGTAATGTGTCACTTTTTCCTAGTCCTGTCTCTGGGGTGAAAGGGTTAAAATGAAATCTGATATAAAACAGGAGTCAATGACTCCATTACAAAACCAATGATATCTTTATTGATGTGATAAAATATATATTTGTGTAATGTTTGATCATTTCACATCAAGCTGTGTTCTTTTGCAACTGAATGTGAAATGTTCAACTATTCACAGTGATAAATGATTAAATCATCTTGAATTAATATATTTATGCAAGAATTTGCCAGTTTAGATTGTCGGCATAATGTAGATGAAAGTAGATGTAAATTAGATTTCTAGCAAATCATTTAATATACAGGGTGTCCGGAAAGTAAAGATACAAATGCTCTCATTTTAAGAGATTTACATGTTATGAGATGAAATTGCTCCAGAATGTAGAATTACATTATAGCAATATATCCTGCAATGGTCATGGCTTTTAGTTTTAAAATGAAAATGTTATGGTCGTTATGGTAACGGGAGTCAAGGGTATGTGGAGCAACGTCACAAATGTGTTTTACAAATCTCTTTCTTGCTCATAGCATCTTGGCATTCTTCCATTTATTCCTATATTACATCAAATTATGTACTACAACAGCATAAGGATTAGTACCGTAACATTATTTGATCTCTTCATATAACTACTATCATTGAATATTCAATATTTTCCCCATTAACTAAACATTTTTGGTGCATCTTGACCGCCGATTCAAGGACTTGACAAAATCATTGCTGTCCATCTTTCAAATTGCTTATAGCATTGACTTCCAGTTGAGACTCATTTTGTATGTCGAACTTCTTACAAATATTGCTTTCAGGTGGTCATAAGGTAGAAGTAAAAAAAGGCTCTATCAGGTGAATATGGGGCATTGTATAGAAAGGTTTAATGTCAAGACAATCCTTTGTAAAAATTGTTTTCTTTGCTTTGAGAATGGGTGTATTATGGAGATGCAATATTGACTTTCCAACTAAATCCAGAGGCTGTTTTTTCTAAAAACTTGTATGATATTTCTTCGATTATACTGGTTAGTGAAATAAAATAGTTCTGATATGTAACAATGACATCATTATATAAAAGAAAAAACTATGGCAGTAATAATACAAACAACAAACAAAAATTAGCAAAACATTGATAGGAAAAATACGACAAAAAAACGCTGTTTCAGATTATTGTATTTTAGCAATTTTTGACATTTTAGCGTTGTTCTGGAACTGCTCCGCATACCCCTCACAGCTGTAACCATAACAACCGTAACTTGAACACGTTAAGACTATATGTGATGAAAGTTGGTAGATATATTGTAATAATCTTCCTCTACAATCTGTAGCAGTTTTATTTCAAAAGGCCAAAATCTCTTAAAACAAGAGCATTTGTATCTTTACTTTCCGGACACCCTGTAGCTGATGTCTTTTTTAATGCTTTAAGTATCTAGATCTATTTTGTGTGCAATTGAAGCTCTGTATTTCTATGTAAGGTTACTTTTATCTTACGAAAATTTTCAAGCCAATTAATATGAAACTTAAAAGCTGCATCTTTGTTAGACTAGTATGAGTAACTATTATTACTAAACGTTAAACTGGATTGTACTCTACTACTAAACTAACTACTGACTATCAAACTGATGAAGTGAAATTTCATTGCTTTAATTTTGTTGATTTTAAACCTTGTAAGGTTTTTATTTTCATTTATGCATGGGTGATAGGGCTTTGTTTTTCATTTATCCGTCAGTGCATTTCTGCTGTTCACTGATTTTCATGGATTGATAAACTTTAAGTGCATTATTTGTAGACATATCTATACATAGTTTGTCATGTACTGTGCATTGTAATGGCAAGTATAAAATATCTAAAAATTTAGCCTTGTATCTACCATGAGGGGGGAATAACCCCAGGGTTCAAAGAGGACTATCATGTAAATCTGTATTGAGAAGACATATCGTCCTGATTGCTCAAATCGACAGTCAATCAATGACGGTTTCAGAATTTTCATAAGTTCCGCAACTCACTCAAGAGACCTAATATATTTGTTAACTCTTAAGCTCTGGGGCTTCCCCCTCTTATCTACCATGATTGTAGATTTGCTATTTAACGTATGCCATTATTAAATACATTCCTTCTCATGTCGGCTCCAATGTTACACCTTTCAGAACCTCTTCTTTGCTTTGTATGTCTTCTTTTACTATGTATACAGCATTGACTTCATGTAACAACCAAAAACTGAAATAAATTGAATATGAAATTAATTATTAGTGTTATTGTTTTAAAACACTAGAAGAGAACATGTAACAAAGATCTATGTATTGATCAGAAGACCTTGTCAATTTGTCATTGCACATGAATCGCCCAAACTGTGTTTCCCCAAATTATAGACCTTTCCAATAAATCCTGACCCCTATTTGTGAACCAAGGAAACTGGTATATTGGCTAGATTTATGTAGTACTTTACAGGCAGCAATGTTTGTAAACAATATTGAAAGAAGTTTTTGAAAATCAGCCATATTTTAATCCTATTTCTGCACTGAAATTGTAAGAATGACATCCTAACCAATAGATGACATGATTTCCTGGATTGGTCTATTGATTTAAAACTTGCTGTAAAATGGTAAATTAGTTAATACTGTCATAACATGACCAGAATTAAGTATAGTCTTGAAAATCCACTTAAGAAAAAATATAAATTAAGATTTATCTTAAAAGAATTTGATGGGTAAAAGTCCTTTCTAAAGATTTAACCTTTGAACCGCAAAGGCTCATTGAGCAGTTGAGCACAGGTATAAAATAATGAAACCCTTTGCAAGCGAAGATGGAATCGCCGACTTCATCGGGCATTCTACAGGACACATAAGTAATATTCCTGAGTTTGGGTCAGTTTGGGCATGGGCTATTTTTGACACATTGAATGTAGTTTTTGCCAAAGTGACGTTTAATGAACTGAGTTAAAAAGATCGCGACGTGAAGACCGACAATGTTAAGGGTGCTTTTTGTTATATCATTATAATCCAAAGTGACTAATCGAATGGAATTGGTCTTCTAACGAATGAGACATCACTTAAAAGATGACATTACAGACCATGACAATAAAAATAGTGAAACACATTTTAATCACGACCTTGTAAAGATACTATAGTCATACGATTCCTAGATTTTAGTTTTATTTTCCTCTATTTCTGCATCTATTCATCCTTATTTAAAAGACTGACGACCACCGACCACGTGTACTCAACTAAGGAGAGTGACAAGTCGGTGGTCGGCGGTCCATGTATATCCAGAACTTGGGTAAAGTAAATAAAAAATACCAAAAAATGAATTTAACCTTAAGACCATGAATATGTGTGTCAAAAAATAAAAAAAAAGAATTCCATAAACGTAATACGATAAACTTGTGTGTCAAAAAATCAATTTAACCTTAAACTACCAACTGAGGTCACAGGACGCGTACCAGACCCTAATGATACAGGGTCCACATGGCAGGAGAGGCGTTCGCGTACCAGACCCTAATTATAGTCCAAATCGTGTGAAAACACGTCCGGGACAATCTCTACTGTTAACACTTGGGCACCGTGAGAATGCCACATAATATACTAGTATACAGTTCAATTGGAGAGCTCATGTGTACATTTGTACAGAATCAAATCAAACCTTCAAGGGTTAGCTATAACTCATCAAACATTAATAAAAGATGACAAATATTTTCACAGACTGGCAAAATTACGTACAGTTTTTCGTCGTGATTTATAAAAGCTTGTCACATCTTACCCTGCGTGCAGAGTCTAGTTATAAAGACGAAGCTCTATTTTAATAAGTGAAGGAACAAATGCAAAGGGTAGTCACATCTAGGACACAGTTGGAAAACTAATTATCTTGTCTACTAATTTCAAACATAGAGAGGCAAGGTGTGTCCGATTCCAGCCAATTCGAACACAGTATTCCATTATAACCAAACACCGCATCCAAGGTCATTCCTTAGACCCTATGTGGTTGGCAATGTGACAACTTGACTCTGCAGAAATTGATGCTTTGCCAACTTAACCCATGAAAAAGGTTTCATTGAAAAATACGTGCTTTTAGGGATTTCGTATCTTTAAGCAATGCTTTGCCAACATAACCCATGCAAAAAGTTTCATTGAAAAATGCCTGCTTTTAGGGATTTTCTTATCTATATAGATATTTTGCAAAGTGTGAAAAGAATTTACGTCCAAGACTCAATGCATTGTGGAATGACCATTCCTTTCAGGCGCCATTTCCTTAAATTAACACTCGATGCTGCGAATCTCGTGCAAATTTTTGAAATCAATTCCTTCGAGGAATGGTCACTCCACATTTGCTCCGAGTCCAGGGCTTAAATCCTTAAAAACTAAATCAAAACTCCAAGGACTGAGAATAACACTGAATAAAGAGTATTCCTAAACAAAGAACCTTAAAAAAGTTGACGGAATGTTTTTGCAGACCGACAACATTAGTAGGCTTAAAGTCGTTACCTAATACTGACCAATGATGTTGTAAAATGCGGAAATTCGTGTATTCATTGAAATGTGACACATCTTCAATCTAGCACTTCACCTCTACCATTTAGCAAGCACACTTGGTACAGCATATCTGGCCCGGTAGCTCAGTTGGTTAGAGCGTCGTGCTAATAACGCGAATGTCGTGGGTTCGATCCCTCTGGGCCAATACTTTTACCAAAATCACCTTCCACTCATGGGCTTGTCTGGGAACAACACACACCCAAAGCATCTTCCACTCATGGGCTGGTCTAAGAACAACACATCAAGTGGATTAAAACATCAACAATTTCACATACTAGTATACAGTTCACCATTGGAAAGCTTATGTGTACATTTGTACAGAATCAGATCAAACCTTCAAGGATTAACTATAACTCATCGAATATTAATAAAATATGAAAAATATTTTCACAGACTGGTAAAATTTCGTACACTTTTTCGTCATGATTTAAAACAGCTTGTCACATCTAGGACACTGTGTTCCTTATCTCCTTTAAACTAATTTCACACATACAGTAGCTAAAACACGTGCTTTTAGTTGATTTCGTAGAAAATATTTTTCAATGTGTGAAAAGAATTTGTGTCAAAGACTCAATGCATTGTGGAATGACCATTCCTTTCCGGCGTTGTTTCCTAAAATTAACACGTGCACTCGATGCTGCGCATCTCGTGCAAATTTTGGAAATCAATATTTTTACCCAAAG